CTGTATCGCTTGCCGAGACGTTTTGAGGCGTTCCCACTGCCACTTAAAGCTGATTGTTCCCTGGTTTAAACAGGTTTTTCAGCCAGTGGGAAAGGGTATAACAATTCTCTAAAGAATTCGGAATTTCAATTTCAGTCAAGGGAAATCTATTTAGTTAATTACATGACATCTGAAAGCAGCTCTTTGTACTGATAAAATCAACAGCACAGTTTTCTTTTTATTATTAAAAATTTCAACAATTACACACCATCTTGTGTTACTCCGTCAATTAAAACACACATAAAATACATTCAAATCAGTTCTTCTAACATGTTGACAGGGCTCTGTTTATGCAGCGACCTTGGCTATCACAGTGAAGGTTTATATTCAGATAAATGAATAATTTTTTTCTTAATCTTACACACAAAAAACATTTTTCTTTCTTTAAAATTAACAGAATGTTTTGGTAAATGAGAGCTTTGTGAATGTTTTGGACCTGACGTGTCAGGAGCATCCTGGTCTGAATGTCCAGTATGGAGGAGTTGGAGGTTTCATCGCTCAGAAACCACCCAAACCAGTCGATCCGATGAAAGTCATACAGGTTAGCTTCGGTTTACCAACTTATATTATTTTATATATTTACAAAATATGCATGATATTAGTGAGAAAAAGAATAGAACAATGCTGAAAACTATGAAAAGAAAAACATTAAAGCAACATACGTTAACATATTTTGTTGTTTTTTTAAATCATTGAATACTTTCCCCCCATATTTCTCAAGGATTACCTCGATAAACGCAAGCTGCGTCTGTGGGATTTCTTTCGAAATATTGACAAAGACGGCACTATGCGAGTTTCTGTCACAGATTTCAGGAAGGCAGTTCAGGTTTCTAAACCTATTTATACATCACATATCATAATGATTTTATGTATTAATATATTATTGTGAAGAAATATTCAATTATACTTAAATCTTATTATTTACTTATTTCAGACGATGAAATATTTTCCTGATACTTCGTGATAACTTTTTTCTGTTTGTGTGTGTAAAACTTTTAGCAATCAAGCATTCCATTGAATCGATATCAGATTGAGGAGCTGATTAACAGACTTGACCGGGACAGAACAGGAATAGTAGATTACAGGTAAGCAGTTCCTTCCCAGCTTATGCTTGCTCAGAGGCCTTCTTTATTGATTTATTGCTGGGAAATACAGGGTAACACCATGTATATTACTGTGCAATCATGAGATTTATTGCCCTCTGACTACAGTATGCTTAAGATACAAGCAATGAATGACACCACATGTTCAAAAATATTTTGACAGAATGTTCTTCATATTTTGTTAAATTAGGTCGAAGGACCACAAGAGCCTAAACAGAATTCAGATGGGGACCCCTCCTTTATCTAAACTAAATCAAATCAAATCAAATATACTGAAATTCTGGGACCTGGTAATATTTAGAACTTCTCAATTCATGTTTAAGGTTCGAAATCAAAAACTTCCACACAATATACAGGAAATGTTTGGTGACAGAGAAGGGGGTTATGATCTAAGAGGTGAAGGATACTTTAAAAAAACAACACTTTAAAACAACCAGAAAGAGTTTTTGTTTATCTGTGTGTGGAGTAAATATCTGGAATGGATTGAATGACGAGTTTAAAAAAATTCAAAATGCAAACCAATTTAATAAACTGATTAAAACCGAGCTCATTTCAAAATACACTATATGACTGTTTAATAGTCTATAATGTAATTGATGACATAAATAGAACTTAAAATAATTGTACATGGCTAAACATCATGTGGAATGGAAACAAGTGTTTTTTTTGGTTTTTTGATGTTTTGACATTTAATTGAGGATAAATTGACAAGTAGGAAAGGGGCAGGACATTATAAGATGTATCTTCTACCTGCTCCTTTTCGAACAGAAAATATAAAATTAACATGTCACATGGGCAAAATAATTTGTTTTATATTTTCATTCTTAAGTTTGTTTCATTCAAATTTTTTTTCTTTCTTGATTGTTTTTACTGTCTGTTCGAAATAAATAAAATAAATAAATAAAAAATAAAAATAAATAAAACCTCCAGCACAGCTGCATTTAACTCGGTTTAATTTAATAACTGTATAATTTAGTTTACTGTTGTAATTTTGAAAATATAAACATTTTTGTTACTTTAGAGTATCTATTTTTTTCTCCTTTGTGTAACCCTGCATCCTTCTATTTACCCTTTACTTTTCTTGCACAGACAATATTTGAAAATCACTTCCTCTTAAGGACAAAACATAATTCTATTCTATTTTTTAATTTTACCTCATCATAATGGTCACCTCCAATTGTTTGTGTATGGTGGAGTATAAAGGGCGTACTAAGGCTTTATTTTTGAAATTAGAGGAACAAAGTCCAACCATTACAAGAATTCAAGAGCAAAATCGTACATAAATAAATATTATAGTGAAGTCATAATCGCAATAAGTTATTACAAGAATGAGACTAAAAAGTCGTTTAAATAAGAGAGAAGCTTCAGTAGAGTTATAAACCTAACCCACACCCACAGGGGAAAAACTGCTCTTTCTAGTGTACGTTTACAGAAAAGAAGGCTACTTCTTGGATTTTGTTTGAATCATTTTATTCTTGTAATATTACAAATTTCATCTTGTTGCAACTTTATTCTCCCAATGTTACCATTTTAGTGTCATAGACTTTAAACTATGACTATTTTATAATAAAAAAAATACTTTTTTTATTTCAAGAACAAATTCTCATATTATTACTTTATTTTTTTAATTATAAAATATATATATATATATATATATATATATATATATATATATATATATATATATATATATATATATTTTTTTTTTTTAGCCCTAATACTCAGTTGGAGGTAGGTTAAACAGTTTGTTTATAAGTGACCACCATCAAAAAATGTAGATTATTGTGATTTTTGTTTTTGCAGTTAGGGTTTGCATGACAAAGGCAGCAGAGCTAAGACAGCGTCAAATGATTATTTCACTGACATACGTTCTGAGTTATGAAGGTTTTTCTTGATTCCTTTTTTTCTTCTCTTAAGAGCAATACTGCTCTTTATTCATTTGTAGCTGCACAGGAGAAGTGCAGAGAGGAAATAGGTTTAGACATGTAGGAAATGGGTCTGAAATAGACAGAAGAAAACTGCTTTGAGGGCCAAACCCTCTGCATATGTTGAATTAGCGCTTCTGGGCCCTTTCTTTCTGTCCTGCCAGAATTTAGGCAAGCAGGGCTGTGTCCCCCATCATGGTGCTTCCATTAACATGTTTTGCAGTGGGGATGTTGAGATAAAGGTGATGCTCAGTAATAGTTTTCTGCCACGTGTACCATCATGAACATTAGCTTAAAATGAACTTTTTGCTACTGTACACCAGAGGTCCTTCTCCTATTAGTTTGCTGTGCCCCATGCATGGATTGTAGCAAACAGCAAACAGGACATTATGGGGGTTTATTTTTACAACAGTTTTATCTTTCCACTCAACTATAGAAACCAGGTTTGTTGGGTGCATTGCTAAGGATTAACAAGTCAACTAATTTTCTGACTTAATTGTTAGATCTTTGCAGCTCCTCCAGAGTAACCAAAGACCTCCTGGTTGGTTCTCCGACTGACGTCCTCTTTAAACTTCTCAATGGCTTTATTCTCAGCAGTCTCCTCTGTTTATTTCTCTGTTTGTATACTTACGTTCTCCAGATTGGTGATTTCTAAAGCCAGTTAACTGGTTGCACATATTTTTTTCCTTTAAGGGTTTTTTAAAGTAAAGGATGCTAATGAAATGCCTGTTCACTTATATTGTTTTCATTATTTGTATTTGCTGATAGAGCTTTTACAACCATTTTTCTACTTCAGATTTTTAGAAATGACATTGAAGTCTGATGATGGCAGGTGATAAAATCACATGTTATTGTTAAGCCTTCTTGACAGTTTTACAGTGGTTAGTTTTGTTTTATTTTATTTTTTTCTTCAGGGGGTTGGCAGATACTAGAAAACAGATGATGAGAGATCATCGCCATCAGCTGAAGAAAGTGGAATCCCGTCAGAAGAAAGAGAAGCAGAAGAGTGACCGCATACTGAAGACCTTCCAGACCGCAGTGGAAGCCGTCACACCTCGTAGCTCCATGATCATCTCCCCAGGAGGTGCCAAAGAAGACTCAGGTGGCCCACAGCCCTTTTCTGCTACCCCTCTCAGTTCCTGGCACCACATTCTAATGTCAAACAGCAGTCGCTATTCTGTCACCAACATGAGCAGCGACCATGCCCATCTGCCAATGTTAGGAGGTACCTCCCCTTACCGTCCAACCAGTTCTCCGGCGATGCGGTCCTACTCTCAGCCCAACCTGCTGGCTGATTCCTCCCACTCTCCAACAAGCAAATCCATCTCTGCTCAGGGCATTCGCTCTGATCTAGAGATGGAACCCAGTAAGCTAAGTCCTACTGGCAACAGCCTGACCAGGTCCAGGCCGGCTCTTAATGCAGAGCAGCCAAAGGGTAAAGTCAAAGCTAAGAAGTTAAAGAAACAGAAATTGAAGAAGCACAGTGATAAAGACACAAAGAAACCTATGAAGAGCATCAACTAATGTGTATTCAACAATAACAAAAATATATATTAAAGCTAAAACTGAATTCATTGCCATTTTTTAATGTTCTTCATTCTGATGCGACAGTAATTTTTCTCCTTACAGATTTCTTCACTCTCCAAACTCATCTGACGATAAACCAATATTCAAAGCATTTTAATCCAGTATCCAGAGAAGAAATCCTTGATTTCTTTATGCTTTAATTTGTTTCCTATACAGTCATGGTCTTGCTCCATTTAACTATGTTTCTTTATTACTTTTAATGCCTGCAGACTGTACAGTATTTGTGACCTCTCTGGCACACCCATGCCTACACAGAGATCATTTTCTGCAAACATTTGACTATTTATTATATGGGGGCTAAGGAAGATGGGAAGAACATATACTGTTACCTGCCTTGGCCAACAATTGTGTGAACTGTGCAGGTGTTGCATCCAGGATTAGTTTTTGACAGGCTATATAAATGGTAAAGAACAAGCTTTCTCAGCCATAACGACCAGACTGCACAATGATCAAGACTCTAATACTCTCAGCACTGCTGAGCTCCACAGCGGCCATGGGGGTATGTATGGCAAACGTAAGAATATCATTTTCCACATTTCTTGCATCCTACATCATCTGATCTGTTTCCTCTATTTCTCGTCTCAGGTTGGAGGCCTGTGGAGGGGAGGGAGTGTAAGGAATGAGACAGGAGGAGGGGAGAAGTGCACCTGTGATGCCTTCCTGCCCAGTTCTACTTTTCCTGTTGCCGATTTGGAGGTGGTGGAGCAGACAGCAGATGAAATCTCACATATGCTGGAGCTGGAGATGGGAAAGGTACTGATGAGTATGCATGATGGTAATGGGTTATAAGGCTGTAACTACTGCAAATGGGATGCTTTAACTCTCCTGTAAAGAATATTATGTGTTTCTGATGATGAAAAATCCATCAATCTGCTCTGAATTCTTATATTTTTGTACTTTCAGATTGAAGAATTTGAAATCAAGATTACAGAGTATGCAGAAAAAATTGAAAAGCTGACATTAGAAGTTGATACTATGGAGAAAAATCCAGATGACTACAAAGAAGCTGACTTTGAAGAGATAAACGTGCAGATCAAACAGGTGGAGGCTCTGGTTTTAGAGCTGCAGCTCTCAGTCAATGCTTCGATTGTTGTCTTTGAATCCCTGCATGTACAGGTATGTTAGAAGCTTTATGCAAACTGAACGGTGATTGGTACACCATTACAATCTTTGACTAATACAGAAGTATGGGTGCTCTTACAGATCAGCGTAATGGTGGAAACCCTGAACAGACTGGAGAAGATCCATGATAAGAATTTAGTTCTTTCAACTCGCAGAGAGTATATAAAGCTACAAGTTGAGCTTGAGGAGTGTGAGAGACGCCACCAGGAGCTGTTTAACCCCGACATCGGTGAGCCTATTCCCATAATCACAAAATTTGGGAACATTCCCTGAACTCATAGGGCTGATCACCCTCTCTCTCTCTGCAGGCTCATGTGCTCACTCTGGTATAATCAGGGTCAGCAAGCCTTTGGTGAGCCAACTGAATGCCCACCTAAGTAGCGGCTACTATTATGGAGGCTGGGGGAAAGATTCAAAGCCTATTCCTGAAAGAGAGTCCATGTACTGGTACTCGGGTTACTCCTCCACTACGATGGTGGACATCAGATTCTACACTGACTACAAAAACTTAATTCTGAGAACGCCTTTTCTACATCACTCCTTACCCAGTGGTTGGTATGGTTCAGGAAACAACTTTATAGTCCGTGATAACACCCTATATTATCAGATAAACAACCCGTTCGCCATTGCAAAACTAAACTTCACCACAGTTAAATATGAGTACAGGGTGGTTGCTAAGGCCTCCCCCAAGTTCTCCTACTCCAGCTCCCCTAATCAGAACTTTGACTTTGCAGCAGATGAAGCAGGCCTGTGGGTGACCTATGCTACAGAAGAATCTGGGGGTCGGATAATCATTGCTAAAATAAATGAGGCTTCCTTTGGGATTGAGGAGGAATGGCAGACCAGTGTTTATAAACCAAGTGTTACTAATGCCTTCATGATTTGTGGTGTTTTTTATGCAGTCAGAACAATAGACACCCTAACAGAAGAGATATTTTACAAATATAACACTAACACTAAGCAGGAGGAGTACATCAGTATTCTCTTTGAGAGGTTTCGGGATAAATACTACAATCTGGATTATAATCCCACTGATCAGAAGCTCTACATGTACAATGATGGTTACTATGTGAGCTACCATCTCTGGTTTAACCACACAGTTCAGGCTACAGTTCAACCACCAGTTTTACTGGTCACCTAGATAATTTTCTGTTATTGAAAGAGCTATTTGAGACAAATGATTAATGAGTTTCTTTTTCTTCCTTTCACTATCTCTCTTCCTGACCTTTAATAAATGATTTGAAGCATCCTAAAGGTGTTGTTGTCATGCTCACTGCTCATCATTTTCTGAAATCGGGAAATAAGACAGTTATATTAAAATCAAGGTTTTATGCTCCAAAAAAACCTTTACAAAACAATGCTGGCTTTAGGTATAAGAAACTACTTTAACAGGTATTCACTTAATAAAATAAAATAAAGTAAAAAATAAAATAAATATATAAGAAATATTTTTCATTTTTGATCAAAATAAATAATTAGATAACAGTTAGTGACATAAAAATTATAAAGGAAAATAGATTGCAGCATAAGTCTTCTATGCCTCTTGCTTGGGCTGGAGCTTATGTCTGCAGTCTTTTGGTTAGAGGCGGGTTAGACCCTGCACAGGTCTTTGCAGGAATATGCAGGACAAACAACCACACCCAAACACACTTATACCAAGGGGCAATTTAAAGACAAAAATATAAAAAGACAATCCAAACGCCAAGTACAAATACCCAGGCTAACACTTGAACCCAGGCCATTCTTACGATGGTAAACACTTTTCTACAATGCAGCCCCTAGACCTGAAGAAAATGCAACTGTCTCGATTAAATTAAAAAACTGAAAAAAAGGATGCAATATTGATGCCTTCATGTAGTATCCTAATTATGGCAAATACCAAAAGCCAACATGAAAATTGCACATGAACACTCCTTTTGTAATTTCCACTGGAAATCTGGGAAAGTTCTATGATACTTGAGTTGTCAAGACGAGGTGAACTTTGACCTTTCAACATGGCACACAGCAGATAAATGATTGTGTATGGTAAATAGTGCATCATGAAGTGTTCTTCTGCTATATATTTTTAGGATATATCACTATTTAAAATTGTGTCGTTTTTTAATGGACCATTATTCTTTGTTTTTATCAGATAGTCGCTACCAGTCAGTCCATGCCTTTAATTCTCCCTCTTCTTCATATAGCAGATGAATTAGGAAGTCTAACTGTCTTGCCCAAATAGCAGCTCGTGATAATATTTGCATCCAACATGTTTTTCTTTTCTACCACAACAAAAGCACTTGTGTGCTGGTTATTTCGACTTTAAGTGAAAAGGATCATTTTTACCAGACCACCTGAAGGCAGCATATGTCCAGGGGTTTTAATTTCTGGTCTGATCAGCTATTAGCATACCTTGCACACCTGAGTGTTGCTAGTAAATGCCGCTATGAAACTTCCAACTCTTATCTTATCAGATTCTGAAATTTTAGGGGGAAAAAAAGATTATCAAGTCAAATTGTCTCTTATTATTTTCTTCTTTGTGGGAATTTTCCTAAGTCTCACAGATAAACAGTAGAGTGGCTCACCCTTTCAAAAGATTTATACTCTTTATTGTCTTCTGAAGTCAGGAAAAGTCCATAAACTGAAAAATGGTGGATGGGGAGGGGCTCACACAACCTTGATCCAAGTTTGTTGGAAAATCATTTTTAAGACTGTTGATCGTTATTGTGACTGGATGTGAAAATGGTGCTTGTAGTGCTTAAAGTTTCCATTTATCATACACTAGAAGAAAGTGAAATTAACCAAAAATATTTCCTGATAACAGACACATATAAAATCCAATTTCATAATGGCACAATTAGTTATTGGGAAGACACAAAAGAAACAAGCCAATAAGAAGCTTAATTGATAAGATTTGCATGAGAAATCCTGTGGGAAGCACAAACCTTAGACCAAAACTTTAGATTTAGGATAATGACTGGGTTGTGTGGGCAGCAGTCTCAGCAGAGATTCCCAGACTTCCCTATCTTAAGAAACCTCCTCCAGCTCTTCTGCGGGAAGTCCGAGGCTCTCCCAGGCCAGCCTACTGATATAGTTCCTTCAGCGTGTCTTGGGGCTTCACCCTGGGCCTCCTCCCAGTGGGAGCTACCTAGAATACATCTCTAGGGAGGCCACCGGGGGCACCCGGCAATGCAGACAAAACTCCTGCTATGTTTGTACAGAGACTGGAGGAACCTCGACTCCATACTCCGAGTGCCACCCACAGGACACTATGAGGGACACAATTGAATACCACCAGGTCTACAAAACACATGTGGACCGGTTGAGCAAACCCCCTTGAGCCTCCAGCAGAGGGTATAGGGCTGGTCCAATGTTCCATGACCAGGATGAAAACCACAATACTCCTCCTGAAGCTGAGGTTTAGCAATCCCCTGGACTCTCCTCTCAGGCACCCTAGCATGGTTCGTCTTGGGGACCTCCAGTCCCTCTTTTTATGCAGGGGAACCACCATCCCAATCTGACAGTATAGGGGCAATGTCCCAGACCTCCACATGATGTTGAAGAGACATGTTAGCCATGATAATGTCCAGAGATTTAAGGATCTCAGGATGGATCTCATCCACCCGTGAAGCCATGCAAACGTGGAGTTTTTCTGAATACATAGTAAAACCTAGAAAAAGAAAATCATAGAGCACAGACCTTCTCTAAGCAGCAAATATTGACCCACACCTTTAGCTAAAACTTGCATGTCTGGATCATGACTTTTGGAATCTAAATCTGAAGATGTCATTAGTCGCTGCTGCCACTCTCTGGTTAGGAGCGGGTGCTTGTTTCCTCTATAAATCCCACAATCTTAAACTATCATTTTTAAAAAATATGTATTTGTATGTGTGAATTGCATGGATTGTTACCGACATCTGGTGAAAATGTCATGTCAATAGTCCATCTAGAAATTTACTGAGATAAATGGTGGTGTGTTATATGGTTATTTTACTATTAATAAATAAAACAAGTAAACAAGCCAGACGAATCTCCTGAACTAAGATTTTGTTGAGCAACACTTTGAGGCAATCACTGAAATCAAGTTTATTCTTTAATGTTCAGGAAGTGTACAGTAAAACCTTTTCACCTGCTGACAGGTATGTTGATTCATGAAAATGTAATGTTGGTTTGTAGTTTGACCCATATGCAGAATCACACGGAGAACCACTGAGTTTTGATGTTTCATTTAAAAAAGCTACAGGAATCTGGGAGCAGAGAACTGCAGAACGTCAGTAGAACTTTCAGGCTGGTCTGAGGGGAGAAAGCAGCCAGATCAGAAAGGAGTTGGTTGATGACAACTGATGACTGATTTCCTTACCTGAGTGATGCAGGGGAGGCATGGATCTGAAGGGGTTTGATTCAACTTCAACCTTTATGTTTAATCCAACCATGTTTAAAAAGTTAAGACTTTCTGGAGTGCTGCTCATTTCAAAAAGCGGGAAAAAAAACAGTGCTGTTAGATTTCATGACAGATGGCCAATTTCTCATCCGCACCCAATGTTCGGATCACACCTCATACTGGAAGTTCAACATGCACCTGAAGAAGCAAGCAATAATGACCCAGTCACAGTCTAAATATCCTTATGCAGATAAAGTATGGCTTTGCCCCACCATTATACAAATATTAAGTTCACTAAAAGGACTATAAATAAGACTGTAAGATGTCACCACATGTGGTAATTTCACATCCACACCCTTTGTTTAGATTACACTTTATGCTGTGGATACCCAGCCTTTGCAATTAAGCAACTGTTTAAGCACCAGATCAGGTAGTAACCATGTGAAGAGAGAAGGTGTCTGCGAAAGATCATATATGAGCACCTATAAAAACTCCGGCACAGTCTGAAGTGACATTTGAGAGGTGCACTAAGACATGATGCTGCTGGTTCTGTTTCTGCTCCTCTGTGCCTTTAGTCCTGCTTCGGCTTGGATTGTAAGTAATCCTTATGTCTGTGATATGCTCAATACATATTTTGTAGTTTTTTTGTTTTTTTATATCAATTGTTATTTCTGTGTCACACTTTAGCCAGTGCAAGACTGGGAATCTGGAAACGTGACTACTTCAGTAGGTTCGTCTGGTCAGTGTGTCTGCCATGTTTTTCTCCCTGACACCACTTTCCCTGCTGATCGGGTTGAGCACATGCAGCAAGTCAGCAGTGATTTAATCCTGGAAGTGGAAATCCAAATTGATAAGGTTCTGTTAGGAATTACCTAATAAATAAAACTGCTATGTGATGAAATAATTTAATAACTTCTCTTCTTTTTTGATTATTTCAGATGGTGAAGTACGAAGGGAAAATGTTGATCTATCTTGCTCAGCTGAAGGATCTGGAATCCAGAGTGAACATCTTAGGAAGTAGTCCTGATGATTACATCCTCCTGGACTTTGAGCTGCTTAGGGTTGAGCTCAGGGAATTTGAGGCTCTGGTTTCTCAGCTTAAGGACTCCTTCAACTCCTCTTCTCCCCTATTCGACAGTCTCTACACTGAGGTGAAATAATCACAAATTGAAAGCAATCTTCATGGAGTCATAATACATGTTGGAATTGTGTGATTCGATTTATTGCCTAAGAAAACCTGCAAAAAATCTTGAAACTGGATAAGAATCAGCTACCATTGTTTTGAAATATGTTTGCTTTCAAGGCCTGACAACTTTAGATGAATTCCTTCTTGAAATACTATTAACATTTTCCCCTTATTTTTGCTTCTAGATCCACAACATGACGCTCATTGTGAACCAGCTGGAGACATATGACAAGAGCAACCTGGAGGTGATCAGGCATGAGTTTGCCAAGCTGCAGAAGAAGCTAGAGGAATGCCAGAAGGACCAAGAGATCATCAATCCAGACATTGGTGAGAAATCTGCCTGACATGATTAATAATAGTTTGCACTCTAGCAGCTGAAGGTGAAATGATTTTTTTCCTAAATAACAATCTTATTAGATTAAATTATCATAAAAAGTTATTTATAGGAGAGTAAGCAAAAAAGAATTAAAAAAAAGAAGATAATAACTTTACATATATATATATATATATATATATATATATATATATATATATATATATATATATATATATATATATATATATATATATATATATATATATTGAAATCTAGTACTGAAATAAATTCACCTTTTTTCTTCAACTAGTCCATGCATTTGTTACTTCAACTATGTTACTATTGTAATTCTTTACTATCAGGAAGTCCGTAAACTGTAGTTAAAAGCCTTCAGCTGATCCAAAATGCTGCAGCCAGAGTTCTGGTGAAAATTAAAAAGAGAGATCATATCTCTCCTATCCTGGCTTCTCTTCATTGGCTTCCTGTTAAATCCAGAATAGAATTTAAAATCCTCCTTCTCACATATAAAGCCTTAAATGGCCAAGCTCCATCTTATATCAGAGATCTGATTGTTCCTTATGTCCCTAAATGAGCACTTTGCTCTCAATCAGCAGGTTTACTAGTGGTTCCTAGAATTTCTAAAAGTAGAATGGGAGGCAGATCTTTTAGTTATCAGGCTCCTCTCCTGTGGAACCAACTACCAGTTTTAGTCCATGAGGCAGACACCCTGTCTACTTTTAAGGCTAGGCTTAAAACTTTCCTTTTTGATAAAGCTTATAGTTAGAGTGGCTCAGGTTATCCTGAGCTATCTCTATAGTTATGCTGATATAGGCTTAGACTGCTGGAGGACATAGGGACCCCTAATTCTTTATTCTGCTTCATTCTATCTCTATTCTCCTACTCTGCAGAATCTGTTAGTTCAATCTCACTTTATGCTCTCTCTGCTTTTTCTCATAGTAGCTTTGCCTTTGTTCCTGTTTTGCTGTGACACCATCCTGGAGAGAAATATCAGCTGTCATCAACACCCTTGTTTATAGATGATGGAGATGGGCCTGTTTTGTAGTGTAGTGTGTAGTATTTCCTGTTTCTCTGAATGTGACTGGCTGGATGCGCTCTCTTCAACCTCTGACATGGGAGCTCATCTGCCTAGCTGTGTGTTTCTTGTGTTTCCGCCTTTTACAGCTGCTTCTTGTATCTCTGCTTCTGTCTCCTTGAACCCCAGTCGGCCTCGGCAGATGGCCGCTCACACTGAGCCTGGTTCTGCTGGAGGTTACTTCCTGTTAAAAGGGAGTTTTTCCTCTCCACTGTCGCTACAAGCATACTTAGTGTGAGGGATTGCATTTGAGTCAATGAGTCGATGCAATCAACTGGTTTTCCTTAGATAGAAAACTTTGAATCAATTTGACTGTTTGATCTGGTTAAACTGTAAAGTGCCTTGAGATGACTTGTGTTGTGAATTGGCGCTATATAAATAAACTGATTTGAATTGAATTGAATCATCTTTCAATTAACTATAAACTAGGAATAACTGAGATGGGCAATTATTAACAACCTTTTTTTTTTTTCTTCAGGAAACTGCAATCACACTGGAATCTTAAGCCTCAGCAATCCATTGGTGGTCCAATTAAATTATCACTTAAATTCAGGTTATCTGTATGGTGGCTGGGGGAGAGACTCCAAGCCCATACGAGGTAATGAAAACATGTACTTCTATGGTGGGTACAATAGCCCTGGAGCAGTTTATGACTTTTATTCTTACTCTAACTATGACAACCTGATCCTGAGGAAAGCCTCAAAACACATTGACCTACCAAATGATTGGTTAGGTGTTGGAAACAACTACATAGTTCGCAGTAATGCCATCTACTATCAGCATAACAGCCCCTTTAGCATGACCAAGTACAATCTGACCTCTTCCGCATATGACTACAGAGTCATTTCATCTGCAAGTACGAGTTTTTCTTATGCCTACTCAAGCAATCAGAACCTGGACTTTGCAGCTGATGAAAGTGGCTTATGGGTAATGTACGCTTCAAACCAAAACATGGGGAAAATTGTCATTGCTAAAATAGATGAAAAATCTTTTGGGATTGAGGATGAGTGGCGTACTGATGTGTACAAACAGACAGCCGGCAATGCTTTCATGGTCTGTGGAGTGATGTATGCCACCAGGTCAGTGGATATAAGCACTGAGGAGATCTTCTATGCTTATGACACCAAGACCAAGCAGGAGAAATACCTCAGCATCACCTTCAAGAAGTTCCAGGAAAAATACAGCAACCTGGATTATAATCCCTATGACCAGAAGCTCTACATGTACAACGATGGCTATTATGTGTCATATAACGTCAAATTTAACAAAGAATGATTCAGTATATTTTTGATCTTCGTATTGTGATTCATACGACTGATCTGCAATTTCTTTCTTCTTAAACCTTTAGGAAACTACACCTTGTTGTATGTTTTCCCTTGTTTTCTTGAATAAAAACAAACTGAAGCATCCCAATGCTGTCTGGAGTGTATTGTGGGATGTGTTTTTGCTATTTGTTATTATTGTTTTTGTTTTGTTTTTTAAGAAAAGACACACGTCGCGGTATTTTAGTTCTACGTTTTAAATTTGGAGATGAAACTTGCCTTCATTTCCATTATTTGATGGATCCTGTAACAGATGTATGGAAATATATATTTTTTTCTCATATATCGATCAAAAGAGAACTTTTAAAATGGAGATTTGCAATAAATTTTCTAAAATACACAAGAAGACACAAAATTAGGATCTGTTTACATCCAAATAGCTGAAATTAGTTTAATTAATTGTTGAAAGGTTGCATTATGGTCCAGATAACATTCAGCCTGTTGGCCACGTCTCTGCTCCTGAATTATTTGTTTAAAATATTCAGTTATGGAAAATAAAACAAAAAGGATATTTTGTCATCATCTCAATTGTTTTTAAGCATTAAGAAACAAATACACATGAAGAATGCTAAGATGTGTCCCTTGATCCAGTACCTGCTTTTAAATGCTGCTCTAAATATAAATTTTATATATCTCTGTCGCTGCTAATTTTCACTGTTTCTTGATAACGCTTTTGTTTTTGGAAAACAAAAAATCTTTACAAACTGTTTTAGTTTCGATGAATGCAAAATCTTTATATGTTACAATTAAAGAGGCATAAGGAATAATCTAGGTTTCAGCAGCCCTCCCTCCTTGGAATATTTGGAATAAGGTTGCAGGATCAGATTTCATGGTCATGCCGGTGTTCTTAACTCCACTCTGTAAACCTGCCCTCCCTTAGGGTGTGTGCCTGGGTGGTTGGGGGTGACTCTCTTTTGTGCTGTAGTTGGAGCCTGGCTCCCTCTGGTACAGAGCATCCATTATAATATTTAAGTGGGAGGTGTATATCCCACATTATAGGTGCACAGCAGAGAATATCCAAACATATTAGCTATTATATAGGGTGAGGGGTTGAATTGGCATAGTGAACACTGAACTCCATTGCTGAAATAAATCAGAGCAGAAATGGTCCTTTCAGACTTGCCACTCAAAACAGCGCTGTCTCTTTAAATCTTCCAGCATCTCTGAAGAGTGGGGGGAAGCAAGTGCCTTGCGTGAAATGGCACCCTTAAATGACATCATGCTCAACCAATCAGCAGCTTCTGCTGAGCTCCCTCCCCCTCTCCTGCTCAGTAGGATGAGTATGTTCCTTCTGCAAATGATCCAGGCCGCTGCTGGTGCTGATGCTGCTGAAGCTGCTGATGCTGTTGGGCTCGGTGTCCAGGCCATGCTTACTACACAGTAGGTACAGTGTGTCTTATCTCCACATATACAGTTATTTTCTGTTTTTAGTAATTTCTTGATACTGCTATATTCTGGCTCAGATCTGTGAAAGGATATTGAAGTAGATTGAAAGGATGATAGATAACGATGGAGGACACTTAAGATGGCTTTCTTTTCCTTACATTGACTAAATTGTGCTTGTCAAATAGCTATGAAACTAATGAATACATCCGAGATGTTTCAGTTGTGGTTAAGATGATATCATTATTAGACAACTATCGTTATTTCATATATTGCTCCTTAAGTTGTAGCCTACAAAGCCATAAAGAGTACCTTGCAAAAGTATTCTTGCCACTTTGTCAAATTTCAGTTACAACTATTAGGTAAAATAGATTTCATTGGGATATTTGTTTTGATACTAAATCAAAATAGTCCATATTTGTGAAGTGAATGCTTTTCCTGTTTTTAAAAGGCAAATGCACTGTAAGTATATATTATGCATGTAGTGGCAATTGTTTGTCAAACCAAACATCCAATTAAGTTCCAATAAGCCACTATAGGCACTGGGGTCACGTTTTCTTGACGCAGGCAAAAGAAGTGGAAGTCCAAACTTGTAGATGTTTAGTTGATTTATTTCCTATATTTTGTCACATTACAGAGTTCAAACTTTCCTTGCCCTGTTACCTCTCTTGCACTGGTAAAAACCCATAGGCCCCTAACCCAAATGCCTGCTGGTCCTTACCAGGCTCCTACAATTATAGAAAGTGGACCGCCCACATTTCTTCCTGTTTTACATAAAATAAAGAAAAATAATAAAACAACAAAAAATAGATGCACAAAAATGCAACAATTAACCTATAAATTAAGTCTGTAAATAATACAAAAAATATATAAGTTTAGGAATTAACACAATTCAAATAAATAAAGAAATAAAGAATAAATAGCTCCAACACTCCGGCCCCTAATTGTGAATACTGTCACAATTACAAATGAAGAAAAAGGAGCTATTCCCTCAAACATGTCCTTAATTCCTCAGGTTGATGCTTCCAGTAGCAAAACAAGTTTGGTCACGGGTCTTTCGAGAACACTGGTCTTTGTTTGTAATCGCACAGAGCGGACCAAGCCTTTTGCATCCTGGTTTACGCTCAAGACCTTGGCCATCATCCATGTTCCTCTTGGAGCTGTAGAGTCTGCAATTAAGACAACATCTCCAGGAGTGAGACATCGTTTAGTTCTTGTCCATTTTTGTCTTTCCTGCATCAGAGGTAAGTACTCAGAAAGCCATCTTTTCCAGAACAGCTCTGCCATGTATTGCACCTGTTTCCACCTTTTCCTGACAAAAAGATCCTTTTGATTGAACAATCCTGGTGGCAAAACTGGTTTGGTTTTTAACAACAACAAATGGTTGGGTGTTAGTGCCTCAAGATCATTTGAGTCATCGGAAACTTTAGTGATGGGTCTGTCGTTTAATATGGCTTCAACTTCACAAAAAATTGTTTGAAGCCCTTCATCATCCAAAACTTGCTCTTTAAGAACTGAAACCAAAATACTTCTTATGGAACGAATCAGACGCTCCCAAACTCCACCTTGGTGAGATGCTGCTGGGATGTTAAAGTTCCATTTAATTCCATCCTGCACAAAAGCATTTTGAATTTTAGCATGATTCAGTTCAGCTAAACTCTCTTTCAGCTCTCGATTTGCACCAACAAAATTTGTGGCATTGTCAGATCTGATGGTGGAAACTGGGCCTCTTCTACAGATGAACCTGCGGACTGCATTTATACAGGAATCTGTATCGAGGGTGTAGGCCATTTCCAGATGCACTGCACGGCTGGTGAAACAAGTGAACAGAACTCCATACCTTTTCAGGAGGCTTCGTCCTCTTTTAACACTTACAGGACCAAAGTAATCCACTCCAACATTTGTAAAAGGAGCGGTGGCTGGCAGGACTCTGTCTTCTGGCAGATCTGCCATCTTTTGTTCAATAAACTTTCCTCTGTTACACCTGCAAACAACACAGTGAGAAATGATTTTTCTGGCAGCTGAATTAGCATTTATTATCCAGTATTTTTGTCTTAATCTTGACAGCATATGAGCTCTTCCTGCATGTCCCAACTGTTGATGAATATGGCGTAAAATCAGTGTAGACACATGCATATCCTTTGTCAAAATTGCAGGATGCTTTGTTTCGACAGGCATGGCTGATTTATTCAACCTGCCACCCACTCTGAGGACTCCAGCATCCAATACTGGGTCGAGTTTGTATAAAGAACTTCTCTTAGAGACTGCTTTAAGGCCCCTGGTGATTAAAGCCAGTTCAGTTGTAAATTTCTGTTGTTGTGCAAACTGAATAATGGCTAGTTCTGCCTTGGCCAAGTCTTCAGGAGTCAGATTTTCTGTCTTCAGAGTGGTCTTGAATCTTTCTATCTGCTTGTCTAGGGCTTTGTTTTGCTTTTCTGGTTCATTTTTATTTATGTCTGCAGCAGCAAACTCCTTCCTTTTCTGTTGCAACAGCATCAGAATGTTTTTCAGCTTTAAAAACCAAGCAACAGAGGTTTTAAGCTTTGTCCAAGATGAAAAATAATGAATCAGATAGCTTGTAGGATTTTGTGACTCCTTCACAAGAACACTCACGGCTAGGTCCCTTTTGACCTCTGGGTCATCTGCAGGAATTGCATGGTGATCCGCATCCAGTTTAGGCCATTCCTCTTCTGATCTGTGGAGAAATTCAGGCCCATTTATCCATCTCCTGCATTTAATGAACTCCTCAGCTCTCATGCCTCTGGATGCATCATCTGCAGGATTTTCCTTGGAGGAAACATATCTCCACTGATTCACATCTGTTGCTTCTCGGATGACAGAGATCCTGTTTGCAACAAAGGTGTGAAATCTTCTGGTTTCACTGGAGATATATTTTAGTACTGTTGTACTATCAGTCCAGAAAACAGGTTTTTCCAATTGTATTTGCAGCTCCTTTTGCAGCAGTTTATTGACTCGGACAGCAAGAACAGCAGCGGTCAGTTCCAACCTGGGGATTGTTGTTTGCTTCATAGGAGCAACTCTTGCTTTTCCTAGAATGAAAGCAACATGTGAGATGTTATTCTTTTCCAGTTTTAAATATGACACTGTTCCATAGCCGTCTTGACTTGCGTCAGAGAAATGATGAAGTTGTCCTTTGTCTGGTTTCCTGATGCAGCTTGGTTTGATGCAACGATCCACCTTAAAACTGGAGATCAGCTGGAGGTCCTCCAGCCAGTCGAGCCACTTCCTACAAAGAGAATGGGGAATAACTTCATCCCACTTCAAGTTTTGTCGACAAAGTTCTTGTAGCAGCAGTTTAGCTGGCATACTGAAGGGAGCTAGGATTCCCAAGGGATCATATAGTGAACTAACCACAGACAAAATGCCCCTTCTGGTCTGTGGGCGGTCCTGCACAGAGGTTCTGAACTTGAACTCATCTGTTTCGATGCTCCACTGTAAACCCAGTACTCTCTCGACCGGAAGTTCATCTGTGTCCAAATCCAGATTCTTCATTTCTTTTGCTTTCCTTTCCTCTGGAATGGACATGAGCACTGTGCGACTGTTGCTTACCCATTTTGAGAGCACGAATCCTCCCTTAGAGCAGAGGTCCGTCAGCCTCTTCACCATGTGAATTGCATCTTCTTCTGTGGGAACAGATTTTAAACAGTCATCCACATAAAAGTTATTTTTGATAGTATCAACCACTTCAGCTGGAAACTGTTGTGCGTTATCATCAGCAGTTCTTTGCAGAGCATAATTTGCACAGCTGGGTGAAGACACTGCTCCAAACAAATGAACCAACATCCTGAACTCCTGTGCAGGTTTTGATGTGTTACCATGATGCCACCACAGGAAACGGAGGAAGTTGACATGTTTTTCAGAGACATAAACTTGGTGAAACATGGCATTAATGTCAGCCATTAGTGCAACAGGCTCTTTTCTAAATCTAATGAGAACTCCAACCAGAGAGTTTGTGAGGTCAGGTCCCTGTAAAAGCTGACTGTTCAGTGATGCTCCTTTATAGGTTGATCCACAATCAAATACAACTCTCAACTTTCCTTTTGTGGGATGATGCACTCCATGATGAGGAATGTACCACAGTTGTCCATTACCTTTCTGTAGGTCCTCTGCTGGTACAGCCTCAGCATGTCCTTGCTGCAGCATGTTGTTTACACATGCAGTGTATTCCTCCTTGTACTCAGCATCCTTTTCAAATCTCCTTCTGAGGCTCTGGAGGCGCTGCTCTGCAACACAGATGTTATTTGGAAAGCAGGGGCTTTCACTCCTGAAAGGTAAGTCAATATTATAATGACCTTTAATAAGTTTTGTAGAGTTATTGACAATGTTCATGAAATGCAAATCCTCTCTAGACATTTCAGTTTTCTCCTCTGATGATCTTTCGTTAAAATCATGATTGTACTGTTTGATCAGCATTTCTTCAAGATGCTCAACAGAGATCCTGTTGGCTGTCACAGCAGTGCAAACATTTCTATTTTTGCTGTGGCTTCTAGTGTGCAGGGGACCATTTATGACCCAGCCAACTTTAGTTTTTACAGCATAAGGCCCACCATCTACACTGTTGATCACCTCCCAGGGCTCTAAAACATTTGAAGCATCAGTTCCTATCAGTAGTTCCACATCTGCATTGATGCTATGAAGCTTAACAGGTTTAAGATGAGGCCACTGATCAATGTCCTTTTGCTGGGGAATATTCAATGTAGAAACTGGCATGGTACTTTGAGTCAAAACATCTGGTAGCTCTATGAAATCATTTGTTTCCAATTCAGAGATTTCCAAACCAGACAAAACTTGTACATTAACAATCTTATTTTGACTCATTGTTCTCAGCATAATATTTGTTCTTTTGCCCTTTATGTTCAGACTTTTTGCCAGAGTTTCTGTACAGAACGTACCTGAACTTCCTGGATCAAGAAATGCATAAGTTTGCACAACTTTGTTGCTCTTTTGACTTTTAACTTTAACTGCAACAATAGAAAAAACAGCATTATCATCATGACCGGCCCCAATATGCCCACATGTCTGGGTGGTTGCAGTTGAGAAGTTGACATGAGACCTTGTTGTCTGTTGGCTTTGTTCTGAAGAGGCTCCTGGCTCCTTTTGTTGTATGTGAAGAACCCCTGGATGCTTTTGGTGACACACATTGCAATCCAAACGACTCCTGCAGTCTTTGCTTGTGTGACCAACTTTCAGACAACCGAAACAAATCCCCTTTTGTTTAATGAAAGTCAACTTGTCCCGATGCATTTTAGCTTTAAACTGCACGCAGTTTTCCAGTAGATGATTTCTTTGTAAACAAAACAAGCAGCTGTGAAGAACAGTAGACTTGGTCCTGTTTTCAGTTGAGTGAGTTCTGGCTTCTGGAATTGTGCTGACATTAGTGGCAAAACTGCTTCCCTTTTTTCTTTGCTTGCTGTAACTTGGATCTTTGGAGTTGTTCCCTGTTGGTGGGTCTTGGATATTGCCAAACACTGGATCTGATGCTACTTTTACTTCCTTTGTTATGAAAGCAACCAGATCAGTAAACAACGCTCGGTGACCAGTTTGCTCCTGTAGCTCATAAGCAGTAACTCTCCATTTTTCCCTCAGTTTATATGGAAGTTTCAGGACAATTGTTCTCATATTTGAAGGTAAATCCAACTCCTTCATGTAAACAACTTGTTGTGTCAGATTTGAACAACCTTGAAGAAAAAGAGAGAATGATTGTAGACTTTTCACATCATCCCCTTTTATTGGTGTCCAACTCATAATCTTCTCCATATACGCAGAAGTTATTTTATTTTCATTTCCAAAATGTTCTTCAAGAAGATATTTGGCTTTGGAATAACCTTCCTCAGAAGCTAAGTGTTGACAACTATGCACGAGATCTTTAGGCTGCCCCCTGGTGAACTGCTCTAGGAAGTGCAAACAGTCGCTGCAGTTGTCAGTTTTAGCCTCCACTCCATTCTCAAAGGCATTCATAAATGATCTGTACTGTAGGGGGTCCCCATCAAACACAGGGATGTTTCTGGATGGGAGAACAGACGATAAGTTTTGTTTTACTAGTAAGGCTGCAATGTCATTTTGTCTTTGCATGATGTTTACAATATCATTCTGACAGTTCTCAGTCAAAGGAGGAGATTGAAGTTGCGTCTGCTCTGTTGCTTGAGTTGAAGAATCAACTTTAACTCTCATCTGATCCATTTGAAGTTGTCTCTCTCCTTGTTTAAGTCTGACAACAGGGAAGTTGGATGAAGACTTTTCTTTTTCTTTCAGAACAAACTCATCAGCGAGAGGATTTAGCAGGGGCGTGTGCTTTCCTTGGGCTCTTTCAAAATAAGAGTTCATCCCATCAGATTGTTTAGAACTAGCAACTGAATTTATTTTTAATACATTAAGTTTTGCGTTAGTTGCTGCCAACTCTGTTTCCAGGTCTAACTTTTCCTTTTCTTTTCTCAGGTTTTCCTCTTGAGCTTCGATCAGATGTTTTCTGTCCAACGCGGCGAGTCTCTCCATCAGCGCTGCCTTTTCAGCCGCAGCTTTAATGCGTGCAGAAGAGGTGGATGAAGCCCGAGACTGCTGTGAAGATGTTTTTGAACGTGGCTTTATGCTTGTAATATTAGAAACATTGTCTTCAGGATTTATTTCATCAGGATCTTCAACAACCTGATCATCAACATAGTTTTTCTGTTCCATATATGGATCTCCTGCTTCTGTCAACCAAACCTTTACATTGTCCACAAAATCAGAGAAAGTCGTCACCTTGGACTGAAAATACACAGTTTGTCTTTTTACTTCTTCTTCTGGCAACGGCAAACCTAGAAGAGATTCGTGTAAATCAGTTGCTTCTTGATAGCATTTAATAAACTTTGCAAAGTCAGAAGCCACTTTCTTAACATTTTCTTGTGAGCTCATTAATGCAGAGATTTTCTCCATACATTTTGAAGCTTGTTTACACTTTAAACTTCGTTTTTCTTGACATGTTTTTATATAAAACTCCAAACCCTTTTGTGTAAATTTGATGGTTCTTTTGTTTTGTGACGTCTGGGTGTCATCCTCTTTGCTCTTTACATCAGACATTTTTGCAGATTCTTTGAATCATTTCAAACATTTAAAGCGTCATAGTCCACGAATAATCCACAAGGAAAAGCACAAACGTATCTCTTTGTTTAAAGAGATTGATTCTTGTGAACAAACATTTCCATGATGGGCGTCGGCTCACGGCTTGATCCAATTACGCATCAATTTGTCACATCAGACTCATCTCATCAGTCTTTGGAGTGAAATAATGTCTTTAAACTCCAGTAGTTTCACTATTTTCCTTTATAGCTTGAACAATATTGTCACATACCAGCTTGATGAATGAGTGACGTGTCCATCCAAGTCTGACGCATCAAGTCACTTGATTTAATCAAAGATGATCCAAAACCTTTTGTTTGAAGGGAATCCTTGAGATCCATAAATCCAGCATGTTGATTGATGAGGTATTCCTTTTAGTCCATGGGCTGGTTCCTTACTTGTTCCACAGGGTGTTTTTACTTGATCCACAGGTGGGTTTTTACTTGAGTGTAGTGGCAATTGTTTGTCAAACCAAACATCCAATTAAGTTCCAATAAGCCACTATAGGCACTGGGGTCACGTTTTCTTGACGCAGGCAAAAGAAGTGGAAGTCCAAACTTGTAGATGTTTAGTTGATTTATTTCCTATATTTTGTCACATTACAGAGTTCAAACTTTCCTTGCCCTGTTACCTCTCTTGCACTGGTAAAAACCCATAGGCCCCTAACCCAAATGCCTGCTGGTCCTTACCAGGCTCCTACAATTATAGAAAGTGGACCGCCCACATTTCTTCCTGTTTTACATAAAATAAAGAAAAATAATAAAACAACAAAAAATAGATGCACAAAAATGCAACAATTAACCTATAAATTAAGTCTGTAAATAATACAAAAAATATATAAGTTTAGGAATTAACACAATTCAAATAAATAAAGAAATAAAGAATAAATAGCTCCAACAATGCAGAACCATGTTTTCCCAAACTTTCAGCTATAAATTCTTTAGGAGTATTTATCTTTCTATCAGCCTTGCAAATTTTGAGATTAAAGATTTTTGGGGTATTTCTTCTTTGCAAAATATCTCAATTATAAAACTGATTAGATGTCAACATCAATCAAATTTCCAAATTGATTTATTTCTGGACTTTGACATGGGGGTTATAACACTTCCGGTTTATGGTTTTTAACGATGCTTCTTGGATTTCTTATATCTTGTTACATGGATAAAAAGATAGAATAAATCTATAAAACCAGACACCATCGGAAGAAGAGGCTGAGTTCATTAAGATAATCTCTGGATTTTTGTACTGACATGGTTTCTGCTTTTCTATTCTGGAGGTGGTTGAAGGCGTAAATGCTCTAATCCTTCAAAATGGGGAGAAGGACAAGAGGATTGCCTATTTACTGAACAGATTGGAACAATATACAAGGATACATTTTTATTAGTGTCATTGGGCTGCAGGTTAAACCCCAGTCATATGTCACACAGTGGCAGCTGACAACCGTGGATAATTTATTTATTTATTTTTTTTAATTTGTTTATTTGACAGGGACAGTACAATTAAACATTGCAACCAAACAGGTGGCCGATGTCCAAGTACATAAGGCTTGTAGCCATGGGCTAATTTGCAGCCTTCGTCCCTGGTTAGGCTTTTAAAAGGTGTTAGCATTGAGGGGGAGGGAGGTTAATAACGACACACAAATGCATAAAAACACACAAAAAAAACCAAAACAAAAAAACAAGAGAAGTTAAAACAAAAATGTACAGTACAAGCCAGTTTAGTGGTCACACTCTTGTTTGTCTTTGAGCCATTTTTTCAATCTTGTGGAGAAAAGTCGAATATCAGTCTGTGACTTGAGCTCCAGAGGCAAAGAGTTCCAGAGATGTGATGCTTTCACTGAGAAGGCGGACTGACCCATAGATGTCCGACATCTTTTAATCCTGCAGTTCCCCATAGCTCCACCTCTTGTCCTGATTCCTTCATTTGCATACTTTGAAACAAATTTACAGATTACCTCAGGGGCAAGACCATTAAGGCATTTAAAAATAGCTTTTAAAAATGAGAAATTTATAAAATTTTCAAATGTCATCATATTGTGTTTTTTAATAATTTTGCAGTGATGCCACTTCACCGGTTTTTGATCGAATATTTTTAATGCTTGCTTGTGAAGTGAGAGTAAAGGTTTTAAAACAGACTTTGTGGCCTGGGCCCAAACGATGGCGCAATAAGACATATGGGATAAAATCATTGCATGTAAATATACTTGTGCAGCTTGATTTGATACATATGGTCGAATCATTCGAAAACAGTTTATATTTGTCTTTATAGTTTTTGTCATTTTCTTAATATGGGCATCAAATTTCAATTTTGAATCTAAAACTACACCCAGATACTTAAATTCACCAGCCGGCTTTATTTCATGTTGATTAATAATTATTTTGAGATCATTGTTTATAATTTTCTTAAGGGAAAAACACATGGAGACAGTCTTGGTGTAATTCAGCGTTAAGCAGTTATTTTGGAGCCACTCTGATAAGATGCACAACTCTCTGTTTAACAGATCAGAGGCCTTTTCAGGTGTGTCTGCTGCCACATAAATTATTGTATCATCTGCATACATTTGACAGATGGCATCTTTGCAGATGTTTGGGATATCATTTATGTACAAACAGAAAAGTAATGGGCCCAAAATAGACCCTTGTGGTACACCCATATTACATTTTTGGATCCCAGATTTGATGCCATTAATTTT